TCAATTTTTAGATACACTGTATATGTTTTTAGCCTAAAAACAATAAAAACTATTTGTGAAAAAAAGTTCAAAATTTATGCTAATAGTTGATGTACTATGAATTTGGTTAATTTTAATGTGTCCATTGCACAGTGGGCCAGGATTTAGATGTAACAAGAAAAAATATAAAGCTCTCCAATTGAGTTTACGTCTTCAGTGAAGTTTCTTGAATTATTTAGGACTACAATTTGGTGGATTAAAATAATTAAAGTTTTGGCCGCAAAGATGACTCAGCGATTTGAACTTTTTTATTTCACAAGATAGAGGTTTTCTGTTGTAGATCGTAAAATTTTATAAAAAGTTTCCCTAGTCATAAAAGCTATACATCTTCAAACAACTGAGATATACGAAGTTTTCTAATTTGCCTTGAAATCACGTTTTTAGTATTATATTTTGAACAATCGGAATACTTTTATCTTTTTTCCTCAATCGGTACTGATCAAACCAGTCTTTTCCAGAGCAATGCTATTATTTTTAGAGTACTGAAAAATATTTACCACAAGAAATTTGAAAAAAAAATCCATGATTTTCTGAATGAAAGTTCTAAAAACTGTTTGAATAGTTCTTTGATCTGTATTGAGGTCCCCAACAACTGTGCCAAATTTTAAAGAATTTGGTTATGATGTGCACATGTGGGAGATCTTTAAAATTTGTGGTAGTGGTTATCACGAGATTGACCACGTGCTTTGGTCATGTACCCTCCATTGTGTTGCAAGATCCGAGTTATTCTCATCCCTCAGGGCCCGTTAGAGACATCTTGGCGAGCCGAGATCTTGACTATTGAAATTTAATTTATGTGTTTTAAAAACGGTTTTAGTAGTTAGTGGCTGGAGGCGAAGCATCTCCAGGCTGAAAGTCTCCTTAATAAAGAATACCTAACCTAACCTAGTAGTTAGTGTCATCTTGTGCTCTCCCAAGTTGTTAACTGTCCATCGGTGTACTCCCATATCTGTTTTTTCATCAGTATGTCGCTTTGGGGGCCTGGTGGGGCCTCCCTTAGCTCAGTCGGTAAAGGCGCAGCTACAAAGCAAGATCATGCTGCAGGTGGCTGGGTTCAATTCCCGGTGCGGTCTGGGAATTTTATGGGTTGGAAAATGTTTCGCCTTCTCTGGGCATTGATTGGATTTGGTCACAATCAGTGTTTGGAACATCATTCTCAAATCTCATTCATTGAGCCTCCCTGCGAGAATAAACTCGCGTGTGAATGCAGCAAGGAAAATTCACGCTTGAGATTCTCATGCAAATTCACGCACTGACACTCACAACACCGAAAAATCATTCCAGCTTCAAACTCTTAAAATCCACTCAAACGTCAATTGATATCATGCCTATGCATGTTGTGTTAGTTTTCGAACCCCTGATGCACAAACAATAGTAATAACAATGAATAACGCCAAAATATAAAGCAATGAATTTTTGAACCTGAAAACTCATCGGTGATTTTTGCGACGTTGAATTTTGCAAGGTAAAACTCATAGGCGCATAAACTCATGCATGAGATTTGAATTTTTGAGTTTTTCCGAACACTCACAATTATACCAATGCAAAAATGGTACAGGCATCGAAAGCTCTCAATTAATAACTGTGGAAGTGCATCTAGAAGTTGAGACCATGCAATAAGCTAATATGCGATATGCAATAAGCTTGAAATGCGAAAAAGAAGAAGAAGATGTTGTTTAGTTCGAGATCAATAGCAGATTGCTCTCCAAACCTTGTGTTCTCAATACCTACCCTGCCATCCATTTGTTACAATTTGTCACCCCTAACCTCGAGACAGCCGCGAGTAATCGGACCCCGCTTTACTAACGTTAGTTTTAAGTAATTTTGTTATCTAAACAATGAATATCGGCTCCGAAAAGCTACGGCAATTGAGCCTGGAAAAATATACGTATTACAAAAAAAAGGGTGGGTCATCATGATCATTTTTTCAAAACAATGTTTTTTTATAGTTCCATTCGGGGTCCCAAACAACTGTACACCATTTGAGAACTATTAGTTGTAACCCGGCATCCAACATTGCGTTTGAAATTTGTATGGAAATTAGTATGTACCTACTTTTTTGCAATTTCATTCCAAGGGACCATAATTTTGCTTGACCAATGCTTTGTTTGATGCAATGTAAAAGTATAGTCTAAGAAGTGCCTAACAACTTTGCTTGGTGCTAGAATGTTTCTAAAAAAAAGTTAGAACTGTTCCAAGATCTAAGTTTCGAAATAAATGCCAAAAATCACTTTCCTGCCAACACTGCCAATGTAACAATGAAAGTCAGAACTGAAATAATTTCGAAGTTTCTCATCTTATCGATTTGGTTTGTTGAGATAAATTATTCAAAAACAGTAGCTCTATCTCATATGCTAGTTGTAGGTAGGGGGGTTACTACAACCCCAGCCTCCCTCCCGCCATATCACTAATACCAATGGAAGTATAGTTTAAAACTGAAATAACTTCGGTGTTTCTTATCTTATCGATTAGGTATGTTCAGATGAATTATTAGAAAACAATTGCTCAATCTTATAAGCGTAGTTTGAGAGGAGAGGGTTTACTATAACCCCTGCTCCCTCACTCATATCAATGGAAGTAAGCATCAAACTGAAATAACTTCGGTGTTTCTCATCTTGTCAAGTTGGTTTGTTATGATGTAGTTTTCAAAAATATTTGCACAATCTATTAAAATCTAAACCTAGATTATTTTTTCGCTATTTTTATAACTGCTCATGAACTAAAAGGAACACGGAAACAGTCAACTTACCTTTCATTTCCATCAAACTCAACTTTCAATTATTAATCATTATTCAAAACCAGGGAAAATATAGAAAAAAAACAGTATTTTTATGAATGAAAAAATTTATGATTTTCTTCAATTAACCTTCCTTGATTTCTTACAATCAGATCAAACAAGACTTCAAACCGAATTTTCCAGAATTATGTCAGTGGAAAGAACGAATGAAGAATGAAACGATAGTAATGATACAGGTTATTTCAATGCGAAACAAAGAGTTGCTTCTTTCATGGTTGTCAACGATGTGTGACTTCAATAATTAATCTACCCAGAGACCCAGTTCAACAGTAATATTTGCTTCAGGTGATCGAACAGCATAGAAAACAGAACCATAAGAAATCGTATATTCTGAACTGAAGTATAATCATTACAATCCTATGACATTTGTGTGAAAGCGTCTGACATTGTATATTACACAAAAATAGTAGGGAAGAGAGAGGGGGAGGGGGTGGTTTTCTCTTTTAAACGGCTCCTAAGAGATTGAGCAAATGTTTTTGATGAACCCATCCGAACATACCAACTCAAGAAAATGGGAAACTCTGAAATTATTTTAGTCTGCAACATTACTTCCATTGATATAAGTAAGATGGTGGATAGGATACATAAAGTCAGCTACTCTCCCCCCCCCCTTTCTCCTATCCATCTACGCCCATTAGATTGAGCAAATATTTTTGAATAACACATCATAGCATTCCAACTTAACAAGATGAGAAACACCGAAGATATTTCAATTTGAAGCTTTACTTCCATTAATATGGTGATATTGGACGCCTCCTCCCACCTCTCTAACTACGCTTATGAGATTGAGTAATTGTTTTAGAATAATTCATCTGAACATTCCGAATCGATAAAATAAGAAACTCCGAAGTTATTTCAGTTGGAAAGTTTACTACTATTGATATGAGAGAAGGGGGCGGGGTTGTAGTAAGCCCCCCCCTACCCATCTCCAACTAGCATATGTGATAGAGCATTTTTTTTCTAAATGATACGTCTGATATTCCAAATCGATAAGATAAGAAACTCTAACATTATTTCAGTTTGGAATCTGACTTCGATTGGTACATTGGCAGTGTTGGCAGAAAAAGTGATTTTTAACATTTAATTCAGACCATACATATTTGAAGAGTTATAACATGTTTTAGAGACTTTCTAGCACCGTGCTTCCTGCGGCAATGCTGTTAAGTATTTCCTGGAATATATTTGTTTATGATTAACTGAATGGTTTAAGCAAAATTGTGGTCTCTAGGGCTACAAATGCAAATAAGTAGGTTTTCCCATACTAATGTCCATACAAATTTCAAACGCAATGCGAAAAGCCGGGTTACAAGCAATAGTTCCCAAATTTCGCACAGTTGTTTGGGACCCCAAATGGAACCAAAAAATGAGTTTTCTCGCTTGATAAGGTCAAGTTAACGGTAAGCCGCCCTTATGCATATGCTTGTCGAAAATTAAAAAAAAAATGTTACATTTTGGATGAAACCTAAAATTAAGGTTGGAAAAACTATGAAGAACAACTTTGTTGAAGATCGCAAATTGATCAAATTTGCGCTAAATGTTATTAAATTTTAACTTTAGGCCAAGGGCAACGCGTATATCTATAAGCTCATAAACAGGCCTATAGGTATGCGTGGTGCAGTAGGGCAAAACTTTTTGCATAGAAGTCCAGTCAATTTGCAGTCTTGAAAAACGTTGTTCTGTTGAGCATTTTTTAATTTTGAAAAGCAACAGATTTGTTTTGCTGCATTTGTTTAAATTAAATATATTGTTGTAATTCAAATTCAAATATCCTAAACATGTCTCAATAACCTCTGTGACGAATAGAAGTGTATTCAATTATTCAAAATGTACATCAAATTTTGAATAATTGATGACATTTTGCGTTCACTTGCCCACTAGAGAATTCATTCAGAAAGTCGTGTATTTTTTTTTTTCAAATTTCATGTGATATAGGGTAAATGGCTCTAATGTTGGCCTATGGATCTAAGATTGGGCCCATCGCTAAAAATCTGCGTCATTGGGACGGTACTAATGAATATTTTTGGTCGCTATTGAAAATTTAGTCGATTGCCTAAATTTATGTATGGGCCCAAATTAGGGGCATTTAGGCAGACATGCCATCCATTTCCCCTATATTTTTAGTATTCTAAAAATAAAAGCATTGATCTGGAAAAGATAGGATTGATCAGTACCGATCGAGGGAAATGGCATGCGGATGGCTCGTAGCAGTACCAACATTCCCCGGTCCGTAAGGTTGAGTTTGGTCCTGTCCACTAGCCTCGACCTTACCATCTTCAGCTACCTCGATGACGGCGAGCTTCACTGCCGGACGTCGGATGACTCCCGCTTCCGTACGAACCAGGGCCTGTCTGGTAACACCATCTTTTCCACGAATAACCTCGACGATCTGACCTCGAATTCAGGTATTTCTCTTGTTCTCGTTGGCAACGAAAACCAAGTCACCCACTTCAATTGGTTTAGTGTCTCGGAACCATTTGGTTCGCCTGGCAATCGTTGGAAGGTATTCGTGCAACCATCTTTTCCAAAATCCATCCAGAATGTGTTGTGCCAGGTTCCAGCTGCTGCGTAGACAATCGGTGGCCTTCGTAGGTTCCTTAGGCAGTTGCTTAACTCCATTTGAGCTACCCAAAAGAAAATGATTGGGTGTCAGCGCTTCTTGGCCGGCGTTGTCTAGCGAGATGTATGTCAAAGGTCTTGAGTTGATCATACTCTCGGCCTCTAGGATGATTGTCTCGAAGGTTTCATCGTCGGGTACTCTTGGTGCGGAGGCCATTGTTTCTATAGCGACCTTGACCGATCGCACAAGTCGTTCCCACACCCCACCCATGTGGGGTGCGGCTGGAGGATTAAAATACCATTTGGTCGTGGTATTGGTGAAGGTTTCGGCGCACTGCTGGATTTGGTCTTGTAGCTCATTCGCGGCACCGCGGAAGTTGGTGCCGTTATCAGAGTATATCTCGGATGGGGCACCTCTTCTAGCAATGAATCTACGGATGCACATCTTGCAGGACATCGAAGACAAGCTATGTGCCACCTCCAAATGTATCGCTCGAGTTGTCAGGCACGTGAACAAGGCAACCCATCTCTTAGCGTGTTTGCGACCAACTTTGACTGTCACTGGCCCGAAGTAGTCCAGCCCGGTGTAGGTGAACGGACGAAGAAATGCTTCCAGCCTGGCCCGCGGTAGTGGGCCCATCTTCGGCGAACCCAGCGATGCGTTGTAAACCTTGCACATCTGACATCTAGCGGCGACTTTGCGCACCAGGTTTCGTAGACCTGGAATGTAGACCAATTGACGAAGCTCATTGACTACCGTCTCCTGGTTACGGTGGTGACATCGACGGTGGTAGAAATCTACGAAGAGAAAGGTTACTGGATGGTTCGGAGCTAGTATAACGGGATACTTAGCTTCGATCGGCAGGTTGGGGGCGGCGCCGATACGACCATCCATTCGCACCAATCCCTCTTCATCGATGAAAGCTGACAATTTATACAACGGGCTCGATACCGGTACCGCCCCCGAAGGCTTTGTAGAATGTCGACTCTGCAACACAGCTAACTCCTCAGGAAACGTCTCCAGTTGAACCATCTTCCACAGCTTCACTTCCGCTTTGCACAGAAGTTCTGAATTTATCGGTGTTTCCAACGACGTATCTTCGCTCATCACTCCTCCGAATTTGAGAACGTACGCTACCGTTCGCTGCAGCTTTTCCCATCTCAAAAAACGTTTCACATCGATCACAGGCTCTATTTTCACCCGTCGGTTAACGAGTACCGGGCGAAGTTCTTCCGCTGCATCTGTTCCTTTCCAATTTTGTTCTGGCCAAAACTCCTCTGGACCCCATAGGAGCTGTGGTCCTCAATACCATGGATCTTCAGGATCAAAGCACGGCCCGTTTGCCCCACTTCGTTGCCTTATCCGCTACATTCTGCATCGTTGGTACTTTCTGCCTTTCGCTTGGGTTGGTCGATGTCAAAATCTCTCCAATTCTGCAAGCAACGTACGGTCGATACCTGCGGGAATCGGAGTTGATCCAATGAAGGACCGTCGATGAATCGGTCCAGTAGAACCGTTGATGAATAGGAAGCTGATGATTCTCCAAAATCGACTGTGCTAGCCGGGTTCCCAGGATGGCAGCTTGCAATTCGAGCCTTGGGATTGATAGTGTTTTGATTGGAGCGACCTTGGCACATAGAAACGTGATTTTCATGCTAATTGTCTAACATATTGTAAACGCTGTCCAACGTCTATATGACCACCTAGAATATTGGAGATTGCAGCATAAATATTGAGAATTTTGAATCAAGCCTCTGTGTATTGTTTAGTGCAGAAAATATGCTTTATTTGAAACAAATTCACTTAAAATATATCATGCATGCTTTTTGGGAAACCATTTTACTTATCTAAGCTGTCCAGTTGCTATAAGACTAAATTAACCTTTATGGGCTTTAATCGAGTAAAATCAGTAAAATCAATAAATTGAAGTGTTTAATAGTCAGCAACTTCTCCATTTCTGTTAATGACCTGAAACATCTGTTCTGCAAACCTTGGTTAACAGTATGCCATGTTAACCAATGTTTGCAGAACAGATTTCTTGATACTTTCCCAAGTCTCTGAAATAGCTAACTTGAGCTCATCTACAGTAGCATACTGCTTACCCTCAGCATAACTGCTACGCAGAGGATTCCCCAAAGGGTTTCAACAGGATTCAAGTCTGGAGAGTGAGCTGGCCAGTCTAACAGATCTAGTTTCTGGTCCTTGATCCACTGGTTGGTTTCTTTGTTTGTGAACTTTTTGCGATGGCATTTTCGCAAAAAAAGGCAAAAGAGAACATCAAATGGATGTGCAGCACATGGATGTAGTCCTTACTATTAATTTTGAACGACGTGAAAGCTATTTTGAGCTTTCCATGCATGAACCATCACCAAAGTTCCGAGTGGAAAAATATTGTACCCCCTTCCTTAAATCGCGTCAGTATCCATTGCATCCATCAGGACCGTCAAGGTTGAACTTCTTTTCATAACTAAAGATCATCTGAGAGTGTTAAAAGTCTGAGAACGATTTATTTGTTTACAATCGTGACACCTGCTAACATCAGGCCTAAGCAAAACAATCTGCTTAGAAACTTTTTGTAACTTTTAATATGAGCACTTTTCACCAACACTAGACGAATTGGCTCCCGGGAAACGTTCAAATTCAATGTTTGCTTGATTTCGAGGAATTCTAAGATATAGTTATTTCACGTTTATCTCGACTGGTACGCTTTGATTTGCGTAGATTCCGTTTGGCTTTCCCATATCCATCCGGATTTGCTAAGTAGTTCATGACCACTTGGTGGGGTCGACCAATCCGACGAGCTATTTCTCTGATTCCAACTTTATCTTGATGAAAGGCTTCGATTTGCCCTTTATCTTTCTCTGTAAGCACTTTTCCTTTCGGAATTTTGAACGTAACGCTTTATAAAAAAAATCAAAACACGTGAGAAAGCCAAGTGGTCTTATAGAAACTGGACGTAGTGTATCTCAGTTGTTTGAAGATGTACAGCTGTTATGTCTTTGACAACTTTTCATAAAATTCAAGGTTCTACAACTTTTTCGGTGACTGCAAACCTCTATCCTGGGAAATATAAATAAAGTTTATATCGCTGCGCCATCTTTGCGGCCAAATTATGACCTATTTTATGTACCAAATTATAGTCCTAATTAATCCAAGAACTTAACTAAAGATGTCAACTCAATTGGATGCAATCGCAGAGCGTTAAAAAAAAATCCTCCTAGATTGAATTCCTGGCTTATTGTGCATTGTGTCTATGTTAGACAATTTGGAATTTTTGACGTATGTTCAAAGATCTTAAAATTGCATTTTTTTTTATTGAAGTTTTCAACATTTAAAAAAAAAAATTTAACGAAAATTTGATATTTTGTTTTTTTTCTGAAAATACAACTCAGTTTCCAGAAACTTTGTCACAGATGTCATTTCGATTAGATGATCCGTTTTCATAGTCCAATTTATTAAAACCTGTGGAACAAGTTATTTTGAAAAAAAAAAACAGGTGAGAGTCAAAATGGCCGAATTCCAGAACAAGTTTGGTTCATTGCCTCTAGCAAAAAATGCGAAGTTTCATGGAATTCTAAGAGGGAAAATTAAAATCGGTTCGTCAGATGGCGTGGAACTGCTCAACTGTAGGAAAAGGAAGTTATTTGATTTTAAATGAACGAATAGTTCAGTTCAGATATGTCCTAGCAAATCTGTGGGAAACACTGAAAATTTATGAGAAGATTCAGTAGTAGCCGTGGAATTATCGCGAATTTCTCAATCACTTATTTACCATCGCAATTTTGAGCGCGAGAAGCTACTCAGAGGCTCACATCGTTGGTGATATGAGGACCTTCTTGATATTTTATTAAAAGTCAATGGTAAGTTTCTCACTATTCGGTTGGTTAATGAGAAATTGCTTGCTTGATATGGAATCCGTGGAAATTTTGAATTCTATGCAAAAATTGAGATTTTAGTTAGAAATTTATATTTTTTCTATGAATCTAAAAAAAGGAAATTCATTCTTCACAACGTTTGTTTAATTCCGATCGGAATCCACCAGATATCCCCTTGGCTGCGCAAAGCAAAATTCCTCGGAATGTTTCTACTTGATTTCACATCGTCGATAAGCATCGCTGCAAGCATGTGCTGCTCTCGTTGCTCACGATGCTTCTTTCGCTAAATCGCAGGACCGCCGTCGTTAACGTCGTCAGTTACCATGTGCTTCGCCATAGATTGAAGCAAGTTCTGCGGAAATCACAGCATGATTGGATGAAGGTTGATATTATTTTTCATAGCAAATGGTGTTTCCGAAAAATTTCTCAGGGTTTTCCTTTATCTCGATATAACAGGGAGGTTTTTTTTTTATTCGTGGACGCGTTTGATCGATCCAGAAATCCTAATCCAGCGGTGCGTTCCGAGGAAGCAAACAAGTGAAATTGACGAAAATGCTTCCGATTTCCCGAACTGTTCCTAATGAGATTTTCCACAATTTTCTCACTTAATGACTTCTCGGGAAACGAATTCGAAACGGTATTTTCGCACTTCCGAGCAACTGCAAACTCCGAAATTCGAATCTACTAGCTTTAATGTGGCCACTGTTATTAGCAGTTAACTTAGCGTGCCTTTACTCGATATGAAACGCGCTGGAAGTTATTTAATACCAGTCCCTTCTTCCATTCGAGCTCCCTTATAGGAGTATTGCTCTTGCGCTCTTGTTTGCGGTCGAATAAATTTGCACCTTTTTTGACGATTGTCAACCGCCGCTTGGACCGCTTGGACTCACTCAACTCACCACTCTGCATGGGCTTGCGGCAATCAAATTGGCAATCAATTATTTATACAGCACGGCTGGGCGATGATAACGAATATATCGGTGATGACGATACATACGTGTGGATGACGGGTACGCACGTTGTTGTGATAATTTATTGGTTGTCGAATGGATCGTCTGATGGGCAATCTGCGGTGAGGATGCTTGTTTTCCCTACATGATTCTCTCGATTTGATTGGGATAGGTATTGGATTGATTGTAAAGTAAGATTTTTTAAGAGCTCATTTGTTTCGAGTTTGGACTAGGGGCAACACATTCTTAACTTTGTATTTCTTGTATAATATTCAGAACGCTCTTACTGATATCTAAGATACCTGAAAATACTTAAAAACATTTAAGAAATATTTAGCGCTAGCTACCACCGTTGCTAGACAGATTTCATTCGATTATTTACCCGGTGTCATCTGGGATTTGGTGTATGCGTATTTAGAAAAATCAACTATTATTTTTAAATGTATTTCTTTTTGTAGGAATCGAGGAAGAGACCATTTTGATTTAAGGAATATAACATTGCCCAACCGATTCACCTGTCATTCAAAGGAAGAATGAGGAACTATTTGGATAGTTACTGTGGAAGAAACTGCATGTGGAACAAGGTGTGGAAGCAAATCTTTAAAACAATTTTTTCCATCCCAAAACCATCTGTCGATAAAAAAATAATTTTCGTCCAATAGGATCTTGATCCAACGGACGATAGCTTCAGGCATTTCCGCTGATTGATGCTGAATAAAAAGTTGTGAAAAGTTGGAACCTTCAATGCTCAAGGTAATAATAAGGCTGGACATGATCATACCAACATATAATTCATCAGAAACGGTTGTTACGTATTAAAACATAAATATGGGGATATTTTGAAGAATAATTTGACACATTTTTGGGGAATGGTTTGAAATAAATTCATATATTTTATCTAAGATTTTTTTTACACGAAATGGAAACAAATAAGTAACTTTGACTATATGTTTATTATTACTTCTGCATGAAGTCAACGAATTACATAGTTGAAGATGCAAATTTCAAATAACAGACTGAAGTGGTAATTTTTATACGATGGATGAGGAGATGAAAGTGTATAATTGATAGTTCCGTTTAGAGTACGGCAGTGTGAAAATTGCAAATTGCGCAACCACTGGCGGGGGGACACCCCTCACCATCCCTCTCCAAAGGGGGAGTTTGGTAAAGAGAGATGATAAAACTGATTTGTACCTTCCTAAAAGTTGTCTAGCTCGCTTTCTACTCTCTATATGCAATTTTCACACTGCCGTACTCTAAACGGAACTAACAATTCAATACT